TCAGGTCTGGACGGATTAAAATAAATAAATAATTATAAAAACAAACAAACAATAAATAAAAAAAAATTAAAAATATCTTAAAACATCTATTTTTTCCAGATTTTTATTTTAATCCGTCCAGAGGACCTGACTGAACCTTGTTAGATTTTTCTACCTGGATTATTGAGCATGCATCAGGACATCCTTAAAGTGTTCACAAACAAAACTGAATTTGCATTCATTAAAGTCGACAGTCTCTGAAATATGCAGACGTTTCTTGTCTTTAACAATCTTCTGTGGGCGTTCACACACAGACAGTTCCAGACTCACGTCACAGTCACGCTGCAAAGTTTTTATATGATGCTCAAACCACAGATCCTCTGCTGGACTGAGGTTTGGACTCCAACTGGACCATTCTAATGAACATGCTGGTCTGACTCGTTCTGTTGCAGCTCCGGCTGGATGTTTCAGGCAGGGTTGCCAGATAAACATAACTTTTTTTTTTTACCCCTTCCTTTTCTGTGCATGTTCACCAAACACAACACACACTCATCTTACAACACTCCCAAAAATATATGACAGTTTGGTTCAAAATACAATTTTAAAACTCCAGTACAACAGTTCTTAATTTTTTACCTGGCAACCCTGGTTTCAGGTCCTCTTCCTGAACCTGGCCCTCTCCAGTCTCATCTTCTGTGGTCTAACTGGATTCATGTTTCAGCTCCATCCATTTCCCCGTCAACTCTTAGAAGCTTCCAGTTCCAGCTGAAGAAGAGCCTCCCCACAGCACGATGCGGCCACCCCCATGCTTCTTCACAGACTTTAGTATTTCATAGTTACTGTGAGTCCTCTCATATTAACACTTCCTGCCCGGCCTGTGAGTTTAGGTGGACGCTCATTTACCTTTTCACGTTCAGATGGATTGACGGAGCTCCGTGAGATGTTCAAACACCTAATCCTGCTTTAAACCTCTCATAGAGTTCCTGCAGGGTCTTAGAAAGTCTAAAAATATGTCCTGATTTTCCATTTTAGATCCTCAAATACATTTAGTTGTGTCTTAAAATTAATCGCCTCTTCCATCAACGTTTTCTTTAAGCTCTTTCAACGATGTGACAATAAGACAAACTTTTATTTAGCAACTTTGAATTTTGAAGCTTTTAAATTCAATTCGTGTTCGTCTTTAAAGGGCCTCAAATTGATCGGAGTGGAACGTGCTTTCTGGACAAGTCTGGTGTGTTCCTTGGTCTTCATGATGCTGTTTGATGACTGAGAGTAAACCGCTACAGAACCTCAATTACGTTAACAAAAAGTAGTAAATTTTGAAGTTCATTTTTGCAAGTATACTTTAAGTTAAGTATATCAAGTATACTACACACCATGTACTTGTAGTGTACTAGAAAGTATACTGATTTAATACTTGTTCAGACTAAATTGGGAATTTTTAGTTTATAAAAAGTATATTTCAAGTATACTGTTTTAAGGTTTTATTTTAAGTTTACCAAATTATACATTCAAGTACACTCATCTATATACAACTAGTGTACTACGTATATACTTGTGAGTCTCATTTTTGTTAGTTGAAGTACATTTAAAGTATACCACAAGTATACTTTTCTCTATACTGCCATTGCAATAGTTCTACACTTCTAGTCCTCATTTCAGTTTATTTAAGTACACTTTTATGAATAAAGAGAAACAAAGAGTAATAAAATATAATAAAGAAAATATAATAAAATTAATAAAAAAATAAAGAGTAGCATAAACTAAAGTACAAGTATAAGCTTTAGTATTAAAGTATAAGTTTACGGTAAGGCTTAGTATTAATGTACTTAGTCTTAACTTTTCTCTATACTTTTCAGTATTAGCCAAGTATACTTCACTATACTATTTCTAAGCATGTCAAATAAAGTTTATACAAAGTAAACTTCAAGTACACTTCCTCATTTTTAGTGTAAAATAAGTATACTTGCAGTACACGTAAATAAACTACTCTTTGTTAAGGGGTTATAAGGAGTTGAGGCGTCACCCGGTGAACTTTATGAATGAATGAAGTGATAACTGGTCGCAGTGATTTCAGGTTCAGGGAGCTGAACAGCACGCCACGCTTTTTATTTGTAAAAATAAAATGATGAAAAACGTCTAATATTTTTTTACTTTGCTTTGATATTTCTCATTAATCCCAGTGAAATGTGTTAAACGTTGTGGTTAATGTAAATAAAGGGGTATTAAGACTTTCCCAAGGTCAGCAGGTCATTTGATTTCATATTTTATTCACTGTATTGTATTTTTATGGACTGACAGACAGCTGTCACTACTTTCCCTCATCGAGTGTCTCACGCGTCTCTCCTCGGACCAGTCCACTCCACCACCATGTGAGGTCCAGTTAACCGGGTTTCTCTTAATCCTCACCCTGTTAAGGAAACCGGGTTTCTGGTTGACACTAGGAAATCAGGTTACAGCAGAACAGCAAGCAGGTGGTGACTCACCTAATGGAGGAAGCAGAAGTTTTAGAGCATCTAACTGTGAAAATATGCGCACACCTGCTTTATTTGTGACAATGAAGAGACATTATTTAAATAAATGCATGCTCTGTGACAAAATTAAACATGGGCCAATTAGAAACAGATGCTCATCAGTGCAGCTCCACGGTTTTTTCTGTTTCCGGTCCATCACTGGCTGCTGAAGAGCCGCACTTTCTCCACACAAATGGGTTAAAGGGCTGTCTGACGTCACGTGACCGCCCTGTTATATAATATATAGGTCAACACGTTTCACGCTGGCACGTGCAGCCTTCTCTCTTACGTAAAGTCTCGTGCAAAGGTCTCGAATTACACTATGTAGGTGAGTACCAAAGATCGTCCATCTATGCGAAGAAGCATCACTTCGAGTCAGTGTTTTGAGATGAAATTTAAAACGTTTCTCAACTTTGAGAAAAGGTTTGTGAGCTCAGTCATCCAGGTAGATAAAAACAAAAACGGTTAAATCAGGTCATCTGGACGGTTTTTTTTTTATTGTTTTTTTTTTTTTTTTTTAGGAGAAACGTTTCATTTTTCATCTGAAAGTCTTCATCAGCCTGATTTAACCTTTTTTTGTATTCAACTTTTAAATCACTTTTGTATTAACAAAATATAGAATGCCCAACAAAGTTGTCAGGTCCTCTGGATGGTTTCTACAAAAACAAACAAACAAAAAAAAAAAACAGAATGCATGCAAAACTTTTTCAAACATGCTGTTTTAAAGAACAAGTATTTTTCTGAGTTTAATAGATACTTCTAACTATTTCTTGGTGTCTGACATGCAGTAAATGTTTATTTTGTAAGTTTGAGGCCTTAGATGTCATAAAAGTGATGGGGGATTTAATCAAATCTATTGTGACCAAGAATGATAATCCAACTGGTCCTAAAACAAAACCCTGTTGTACCCCACATCCCAGTTTTGTTCATAAAAATAACCCAACTTGTTTATTAAAGACGAGACCTGAATCCCTGTAGGCCAGGATCTGAGACCCCCACCAGCTTAAGGAGTCTGTTTATTGTGTTAGTGCTGACTCAGCTTTCACACTGTTGTTTTCCTGGTATTTTATTTTCAGAATATTTTCACAAACTTTCTGTGTACTTTGTGCTGTTTTAGCCATATCAAGTCTTTCAGCTCATTCAGCAGATGGGGTGCCATATGGCTTCTGGTTTTGTACTTTTTCAAGTTTTTTTTTACTTTATTTACAAAAATGCTCCTCACAAAAACACAGAGATCGCTTAAATTCTTTCAATACAGTGTTCTCGTTGAACTCTGCTTCAGTAGTTTGTCTAAGTGCTACTTTCAGCTACTCTTCTGCTACTTCTGGCTTTTAACAAGACAGCTTTTAGCTTTCAGCAACATTTTGGTGAATTAACTGGTCCAGATGAAATGATTTAAACTTTTTTTATTATTATTATTAACAAGCCTTATACTAATTTCAGCCTTCAGTTAGCTTTTTGCTCATTTTTATCTTTTGCCATTTTTAGCTATAGCTTTTTGACACTTTTGGCTAGCATTTGCTATTTCACCACTATCAAAGTTCATGCTCAGTCATCCAGGTACAAATCTGTTCAGTTTTGTGGAAAGACATTTTGCCCTTTATCCTGAGGGCTTCATCATTCTGAGGAGTCCCATCTTATCACCAGCAAACTGGTTGGTCCACTAAAAGAGTGCACTGCTAGTGGGTAAAAGTTTACTTGGGACTCAGACTGATGAAGTCCTCCGGATAGAGGGCGAAACGTCTTTCCACAAAACAGAAACAGTCCAGATGACCTGATTGACCATTACTTCACCACTAGCTATCATTATGCTACGTAGAGCTTTTAGCCAGCCTTTTTCTACTTTTAGACAACTTAAAAAGGACCAGTTTCATTATTTTTTATACATTAACCACAATTCAAAAACAATGTCTGATTTTTATTAGTTGATTTCCATTTTCCTTTTGGAGTACTTTTCTTTCCATTTCATGTTTCAGTCATCTTGACGTTTTCTTTTTTATTATTATTATTATTTTTTTAAAGAAAGGGTTCAAACAAAAAGAAAAATGCCTTCTGAAAATCCGACGGAGTGAGACCTCTTCTTTGTCATTGCTCTGATCGGTGACGCGCCTGGAGCCTCTTATCCAGGTCACCAAAACATGCAGGCAGGGAGGATGGGTGTGTGTGTGTGTGTGTGTGTGTGTGTTGGGGGTGGGGGTGGGGGGGGTGTCCTGGCTCTATTTAGCATGAATGAAACATTAATTTATTGATGCTGACATGAGCTCATCTGTCATGCCAGATGGTCCTATCTGTGATGTTGTATCATTAAATCAAGTCCTGCTGCCTCCTATAAAACTTAACAGTGTTCCATAAATCCATTCACAACAATGTGACGTGTCTACCCCCCACCCCCACCACACGCAGGCTTTGTCAAATGTTACACGAGGAGGAGTGTTAGAGAGAGGAGGGGAAAAAAAATGAAGTCAATTATACAACACCCTGGCCCTCCTCTCCTCCTCCAATCCTCTCCTCCTCCTCCAGCTGGAGGCTCGGATCACTGGGAGCACCGGTTCCGGTCCGTAGGCATGTCGGCTGGGGGCTCTACCGGCGGGACGGCGAACAAACCTGCAGGTAAGAGCAACACCTGTGCGGTGATGCGCGCACCTCACGCACTTTTGTTTCTTTTTGCAGAAATTACTAGAACACCGGTGTTGCAAACAAATTGGTTACTGAGAGAACGCGAGCTAGATGAGCCGCGGCTGTTAAACTTTTTATCTTTAATGTTTGGCGAGTTGACACAAGTACATAGACTTTCTGCGAGGAACAAACTTCAAGTTAACTCTAAACGTATTAAAATAATAATAATAATAATAATAATAATTAAAAAAAAAAAAAAAAACGCCGGTTGCCTGTGAACTGTCTCCAGTCGCGCGCTGCAGCCGATTCGGGCTACTCGTCATTGTAACCATGGCGACGCGTTCTTCTTCTTCTTGTTATTTTTTTGTCATCTTCACCCGCAACGTTGATTCATATTTTCCCAGTCTGTTGAAGTCTTTCGCGTCTTTCCCCAAAACGACCCACGCAGGAGCTACGTCACGTGGTCCCGCGAGGCTCCTCGGCGTCCCAGCGTCTTCCAGAACTGGGTCAGTGGATCAGTGGAGCAGCGCTGCCTGCTCCGGCCAGCAGAGGGCGGCAGAGCGCTCGACCGGGCAGAGATGTCTGCAGCTCCTCAGTTTTTACTCTCGTCTTTTACAAAATGACTTTTTTGTTTCTTTAACTTTTTTTTTATTTAAATTACAACTGATTACACTGAGGGCTGACACAATAAAAATGGCTGCCGCAGCCAACTGACCTTAGTTATTAAACCATACAGATGTTGGTTTGGTAGTAGCTGAGACTGATCCTCATCACATGTTCCGAGCATTAGGCTGTGCAAGATGCGCCATTTTAAAATCTTTTCAAGTCAACTCTGTTAATAAAATATCTCGTGAACTACTGGACAGATTTTAAAGAATATATCAGGAGCTGATTAACTTTTGAAGTCCATTCAAGATGGCCGCCTCAGCCATATCACTATAAAACAGCTATTATTTGGTTTGTTTTACAGAAACTGTGTTCAGATCTGGAGTGGCTGTAGCTGAGAGTCATCCCCAACACCTTTGCTTAAAACTTGAGCATGAACTGTTGGAGTCTGTTAGCAAAATATCTCGTGAACCACTGGATGGATTTTAATGAAACGTTGAGAAAGTGATTAGTGAACGTACATCTACAGCTGATTAACTTGGGAGTCAGTCCAAGTAAAGATGCTTGCCACAGGTATCAGCATTAGCCAGTACAAGAAAATGTCCAAGTCTTAGTCGATTTCTCAGCTAATGAGCTAAAATTTGATGTGGTAGTAGCTGAGAGTCATTCTCCACACAAATGCCTCTCAGCCTAAACCTCTGGCATGGAGCCAGCCACTGTAGCTGCATTAGCTAACAATACCTCCAGGACTGGTGACCCGGGGGCTACATCTGGCCCACAGGTGAGCTCAATCCAACCCACCAATAAGTTAATTTAAATTAAAACTAGACTCAAAATCATTCAATAAAGTTACGTAAGGACAACAACTGCTGTACGTTCGGCTCCTGAGCTGTTGGCTTTCAGTAACTGTGGCCCCCCTGAGCACTTAGTTACGTAGCTCTACACTTGTGCTTTATGGTTTGCAGTGGTTCCCCTGGGTTACTTACCTTGGGAAGGTGCTCGTCTCTTCGGGGTTTGTGTCGATGCAGGGCGGAGGGTGGGGATGGAGAAGATGAGCACGCTTGCATTGTGCGCAGTTGTTGGGAGTGGGGGTTGGTTAGTGTAGTGCTACATTAGTACCTATCTATCGTTAGTGCCCAGCTATCGTTAGTTCCCAGCTATCGTTAGTGC